TTTGGATTCTCATACTCATTCAACATAAGAAAAAACAATCAACATAACTCACCACATTAACAAAGCAAGTAACAAGAATCATATGATCTTAGCAACTCATGAAGAAAAGACTTTTGACAAAATCCAATATCCCTTCCTGATAAAGACATTTAGGCAAGTTGGAATAGATGGGAATTTCCTCAACATAGTGAAAAGTATATATGCAAAACCAAGAGCCAATATCATTCTCAATGGAGAAAGAATAAAAGTATTATCCTTGGGAACAGGGTCCAGACAAGGATGCCCACTGTCCATGCAATTCTATTCAATATTGTAATGGAAGTGCTTGCTAGGGCAATACAAGGGAAGGAAATAAAAGGCATCCAGTTCAACAAAGAGATGGTTAAACTGTTGCTATTTGCAGATGATATGATGGTGTACACAGAAAACCCCAACTACTCAACAACAGCAAAAAAACCCCAAACAACTTTTTAGGGCTAATGGACCAATCTATATTTTTGAGAGTATGTGTGGACAGAGTATTCTGTGGGATTTGGTAGGAAGAGGCAGCCACTTCTGTCATCTGGCAGAATCAGTCCTAATGACACTATTCTAGACCTCTAATCAGCTATTTCTTATCTTTGGCAAAATCCAAGCAGAATGTAACCAGAGAAAGACAGGATGCAGGTCATGTGGCCAGCTTGCCAGAGCACAGGTGAAGGGGGAAGAATGGATCTGGTGAAACCAGTAGAAGTCATCCTGCAGCTGCGGCAGGCCTGGCCTTGAGTCCTGGCGCCCTCTCCATCCACCCTCTATGTTGGAACTACTGGTGCTGTTTCTAAAGCCCAAATGGAGTAATTTCATACAATTCTGCTCAGAATCCATCATTGTTCCCCATTGCTCTTGGAATGAAAATACAGTTCATAAGAACTGATTATTAGTATCTTTTCCCAGTTTCTTATTCAGTCCCCACTAATGGGAAGTTAGGGAAGAAGTATTTAAATCATAGAATGTAAAATCGCAAATGCTATCAGTGGAGACCCCTACCCCTTTTCAGGGAACTTTATAGAAATATATTTATTATGATAAAAACATTTTACTTAAAAATGTACTTAGTTTTAAACTAAGGATTTTCTCTTTTAAAAAATCTGCAATATCTTCTCATTGAAAAAAATCTTCATGGTTCCCAGACTAAGTACCATTGCCCACAAGTAACCAGAGCTGCTGAGAAGTGGCTCATTACAAAGTCTGGGGTGAGGAATGTAACAAGATAAATCTGAAACCCTTCATGCCAGAAACACAAAGCAATGAAGTTCTCTAATACAATGCAGGTCCTGACAGAGGCCTCACGGACCATCCTCAGAGACCATCCTTGTCACCAGTCCTCAGGGTCCACCATGAGAGTACTTTTGTTGGCCAAAGAGGGGACAGTATGAGCATGTGAAGAAAATAAACTATCACTATGAATTGAAACATATAAAATATATTTAAAATAGAGGGGTGAGGATGGGGGTTGTTAATCATAGGGTTGCACAATTTGATGGGTGGGTGGGGTGAAGGAAATGGGAAGGATCTCCTGTGAAAAACAATGTATCCAACCTTTGTAAATAAATCAGGGTAATATAAAAATTTTTTTAAAAAGTAAAAAAACCAAAAAAACCCCCCAAACACCCACAACCAAACAAACCAAAAAAACCCCTCAAACTTATGAAAAATTCATTGTGGCTGAGTTGAAGGCGAAGGTGACCTTCCATTGGGTTTCTGAGGCTGTCAATCGCATGGGGGTGGGGGGTTTGCCCACCTTTCTACCAGGGAAAGCCACTGATGGGTTTGAACCACCAGAGAAATGTGGTTTTGAGTTAGCAGCACCACTCCTTAACAGGTTGGGCCTCCAAAGCACCCATTAATAACCTAGAAGTTTTTAATGAATTCAAAACAAAACGAACTACACCTCTAGATGTGGGCAGGAAGCTTGTTCTGAAAACTGGTAAAGGGATGGATTCAAGCATTTATCATCTTTTCCTGTATGGATGTTCCTCAAGATAACCAAGAAGTTTTTAAGGGCAAAGTCTTTTTAGAATTCTGATAAATGAAAGAGTATCACCATTTTGGGAAATATAATCAGAAATCTAGCAATCATCCATGATATTGATGAGAAATTTTACAATAAAAGAGCTAAACTGGTAACATCTGAAGTTAGGAACTATGAACAGTTAACAGGTAACATCAGTCATTACTGATCACAGAATGAAGTCCCTGGGGTGATGCAACAGGAAGTAATGCATCACTTCTGAAACAGGCCTGCCAAAATATGGAAACAAGATCCCATTTCCAAGGCTTAAATCCGAAACCTAGAATGGGGATATTCTACTGCATTAACATCAAATAAATTGCAAGGAAAACAAAAACAGTTCATAAAGATTTAGGACATGCATCAGTTAATTACAATACATGGATCTTGTTTGGCACCAGTCAAGCAGATGGCTAGAGAAATGTTTGCTATTTTGAATTTTTTCCAGTTATAATAATGGTAATGAGGACTCTTAGGTCTTTATCCCTAAGAGCAAGGTTTCTCAATCTGGACACTGAACATTTTGAGCTAGTAATTCCTTGTTGTGGAGGTGGTTCTGTGCATCTCAAGGTTGTTTAGTGGCATCCTCCGACTCAACCAAAATTAAAATTCACAAGCCTCGTCCCCACATTGCCCTCAGTAGTGAAAAAAAAGGAGTATCTCCAGACATTGCCAAATGTCCCAAGGGGTAGAGGGAACTACTCTTGTTGAGAACTAGTATGTTAGTATGTTAAAGATATATACTAATTATGGTTGAACTATTCTATCTGAGGCTTGTCAAAAGAAAGCAAGTGGGGGAATGGGTGGAGGCAGAGAAACAAGTTTGACTTCATAATTGTTGAGGTTGGTGAAACAGGGTTCATTATACTGTTCCTTCTATATGTTACAAAATTGTCAATTTTGACATTAAAATGCCAAAGGAGTATTAATGATATTCTTTTCCCAAAGAATTCTTAGCATACTAGATTAAACAAGTTGTAAGTCGAAAGGTTAGAATTACTAGTAGTCATTTGGTAGGTCCTAGCAGAATCCCACTGATCTGCTTAGGTCCTGAGAAAGTGGATGATTGGGTAATGCATCATTTTACAAAATTTTTGGTTTTGCTTTCAATGAAATGGAAAGCGGACCCTATTGTTTTCTTAAAATTATATCATTGGTATTTTAACCTAGGAAACAGGTGACATTGCTGTAACAAAACACCTTCCACTTCCCCATACTCATGGTTTCTCAGGATTTACACCTATAAAAATAATAGGAAGAGAACTGGTTATGAGTCCTACATTAGGATAGTGGGATAAAAATATTTTAAGGGAGAAAATGTGTAAAATTCCCATCTGACAGTTTTGTATATTTTAAAATGAGTAACAGAAATGTCCACTGTTTAATTTGAAAAGTGTGGTTTTTTATCTTGAAAATCACAACGTGCTGGTAGTTAAACACTTTACAGCATAAAACTGACAAGCCCCAGACACCTCACATTCCCTTTGTCTACTAGCATCATCTTTCCTTCCTATTCTCATTTCCCCTTTGGTTTAATATTATTCAACCTTAATAAGCCTCCAGATCCCTTGATTTCTCTACAGGACAACGTGTAGAACATTAATATTTCGTGTTCAGTGACAAATGTCCAGGGTAGAGGCCCATAGAGGTAACTTTTGCAAGGTCCCAGTGGCAGGACCAGGTGTGACCACAAACATCTACACACCTCCGCTTATTGGACAGTGTCAGCCACTCACATAAACCATCACCTCCACTTCCAACTTCTCACTTGGATTTACTATGGAGTTATTTTGTCCTTGTTTCATGTTGTCACTAATTTTCCAGTATAGACTGGCCATAGTTTACAAACACAATGTACATATACTTGTCTTTTTAAGGTCACCTTTGGAGGAAGAAGCCTCTTCACCTATTTTCCTCCTCCTGCTGTTCACCTTTTTCATATCTAAATCCCCCTGGGGGCCTCTGGTAGCCTAGTGGTAAGAAGCTACAAGCCCAAAGGTGGGCATATGGTTTGAATTTCATCATCTGCTCCAAGGGTAACATTGGCATTCTCCTCCTGCGGGATTTAATGCTTCTGATGATCTGCAGGAGGGTCAGCTGCGGGTCGGCTCCAACCTGCCAGCGCACAGCAAATGCCACTAGGTATGTTGTTGGTCCCCCACCCCCACAAACAACTTGCATGTAATGTAAAATATAAGCCCACTGTACTGTGGAGCACCCGGTGACTGTGTCCCTTTTGCTTCGTCCCTGGCTTGCTCATAAAACAACGCGAACTGCTGGCACAATTTTAACCTTTCAGCCAGTGAGTGGTCAACCAGAATTAAGTGCCATGATGTTTGCTTCTCCGCCTTTCTTTTTAAGCTTAGACTACTTGACACATCCTTTAAAAGGCTAACCACCACACATCTTTAAATCTGCTTTCTGATAGTGATCTGCTGGCTGACTTATGCTTGCTCCATCAAAAGACCAGAAAGGAAGGGACTGTTTTCTATTGTGGTTTTTAATTATTAAATTTCACTCTAGTCAAGACTTTAGCAGGAACTGCTAACAATGAAACTGAGAAAAATAAACACAAACATGAACAAATGACCTTTTATTTCATTCAGATACAAAGGCAGTTGTGTGCAGCAACAATCTGATGGGCAGTCTGAATTCTTGGGAGGAAGTAAATTAATGGTAAATGTCATGACGGCTGGTCAGAGAGAAGGTCAGATGAGGAGAGGAGACAGAAGAATGCTACAGCTAATAAATAAAGGAAGCCATAAATGCCATCTGGTTTCAGTGCCACGACTTGCGAGTCTTTCCAGGCAACATCTATGCTGGTTAAAATCACAATTCAATATATCATAAATATCTTTGAAGTGCATTCTGCAAGTTATATTCAGGAAGTAGTAATTCTTACAAGGGAACTGGCACATTTCTTTATTTCGGGACTGTGAACTTTGCTCACTATGCTGTGACTGGGATGTGGCCATGTCGCCTGAGACTCATCTGAGAGCTCCATCTCTGAAGGACTGACACTTTAGTTGCTCCCACCTTTTCAAATGATATAATAGCTTTTTTTTTAATCTGAGAAAAACTTTTACTAAAAATATGATCTTCCAAAATATAACAACCAAAAAACCCCAAACAAGGTCAAGGTACTAGAGAATCCTGACATGGCACCTCATGCTCGTCTCGTCCCCCACTTCTCACATCTTTCCCCTGTGCCCGATGGACTCAACAGCTATCATGAAAAACACTTGACCAGTATTTACATTTACAAAAAGACACTACTTAATTTGTTATTAATTAAAATAAGCTCTTGGTTTTAAATATACATCAGTAAAATGTACAATGTTCATTTACTATGTTACGTTTCACACTTCATGATAAAAGAATACTGAACCAAGACAGCAAATAGAGGTTCAGTACCATGATTTCAATATTTTGCTGGATAAGCAAAATTTTTAAAAAAGTACAGACTTGCAAAAAGTACATTTTTTTTAAAAAGTTTCCATGTTTAAAATGGATTTAAAAAAACCAAACAACACACCAAAAGGCCAGAAAAGGAAGTGTTTGTAACATAAAGATACAATGTGGGCAGCAAGGGAAAGGAGGAGAGAAAAATGGGAAAACAGGACTTATATCAAGCATAACTTGGGTTGACTGGCTTTGCTTTAGAATATCAAAGGCAGGATTGTCTCTCTGCAACTCCGCAGATAAATCCTAGTGTTTTGTCATAAAATTTAAAGAGTTCAGATATACAGATAAACCAATTAATAATTCCTTTCTTAAAATATTCTAAAGGCTTCTGAAGCATTATATAAATCTTTAAAACTCCTACCACCCACACTATAAGACATAAATCTACACTTTCCTAAGGCACTCTTAAGCTATAAAATTATTTTGATGACAATTACATTCTATGCTAAATCTAATTCATTCCATTGCAGCAGGGATCGAATGGGCTGTCTTTCTGCGCCCAGTAAACCTCTGCTCACTGACACAGACAAGCAGGTCCACAGAGGGTCCCTCAGCTCATTCTCAATTAACCAAACAGATGAGTTTTATCAATGGGACTTTCCTATTCACTGGCCAGGAGTTACACTAACAGAAATGCCCAAATGTGCTGGTATCACTTAAAAACAGGATCTCCTCTTCTGGAAACAGACCAGTGGCTTCATTAGCGTCTGCCCATAAAGGAAAACAGATGTAAAAACCAATGATTTCCTATTCTTCAATTGTGCTGACTGGTCAGGGATTTTACAGTCTAATAAATGTCCTAATCTTGACATTTTAAATTGTTTTATATGTATGTAGGTTTACTGGTGCATACTTAACAGCTTCCACTTCTAAACAAGAATTCAAATCCCACCATCCTTATTGCTAATTAAACAAACATCGAATTTCAAAATACAGTAATGAAACCACAAAGATGATAAGATAAAGGCTTTATGGGGTTCTCCACTTCTTCAAATGCCAGAAGAAAACAAAGGAACCAGAAGGGTCAGACAAAGCCTGAGATACAAGTTCACTATTGAAAAACAAAAAACAGGAGGGGAGAGGGTGACAAATGCCTCCTGAGAGCAGGCGGAGTTAAAATGCAGCAGTGGGAATGATGAGAGTGAGGCCTGGTCCTGGGCTGCATCTTCGCTCCAGCAGGAAGCAAGGCTCCCAGAAGAACTTCTTCCCTTCCACCTTCTGGGCTGGTAGCAAATGGTCACTTACTTCCCGTAGAACTTTTTGTTGAGAAGAAAGATCAGGAGGTTGACATTTACTTTAGCTCTGTCAAATAACTTCATGACTGCAACGCCTTCATACTGTAGCTGTAGCAGGTCCTGTTAAAAAACAATACCACCACTTTGACAGTTAGTCAAGTCTGTGGAACGAGGAGAAAGGATACAGTGTAGGGAGGGATCTAGGAATAAGGCAAGCCTCGTATGTTAGAAGGACCCTTGTTGGCGCAAATGATTTGTGCTTGGCTATAACCAAAAGGTTGGTGGCACATGTCTTCAGTAATGTCACAGACGTTAAGGTCTGTGCTCTTCTTTAAGGACGAGAACCAGGAAGCCCTAGGGGGCTTGGTTCCACTCTGCAAAACAGGTTTCCATGAATAGGAATCAAAGGGCGTGTACCAGATGTGAAATGGGGTGAGAGAAAGTGAAAGCTTGAGAAACAGGGTACCCTGGTCAATCATGTTTTCTGGTTAATTTGGAGTTAAAAACCCATGTTTTAAGACCAAACTATCAAAAGTCTTAGTCAGACTGGTCTCCCCCTAACCTTTAGAAGAGTGGTGGGGAGAAAGCAGGAATTGAAAGGCTCGAGGGGATCCTGAAACAATCTGTCCATTCACCGTTATAAACTACCCAGCAGCTCCATGGGGTAGGGCCCTGGAGCTCCACCTGAGATGGAAGACACCTCACACCTGCAGTTTGCGGGTGAATGAATAACCACCTTGGGAAAGCTGGTTGGCCTTGAAGAATTTGCCGACACTCGGTGTCTCGCAGGATCATTTTTGTATGACTCTGTTAGCTGTGTACCCCAACATCATTGATGCTAATGCTAGTTCAGCTAATGCTAGTCATTGAGCAGGAATCAAAGATGACTGAAAAATATTACTTGTCTTTAAGGAGGTGAGTTTTAGCAGGTGGAAAAGGGAGTAAGTCGAGATAAAAAAAAAAGGGAGTAAGTCACTATACAATTTCACTAAAATGTGATGCCTACTGTACAGAAGGTTCTAGAAGCAACCACCAGTTGTGGCTTGGCTGGCAGGTGTGGTAACCCAGGCAGACAAGCTGGGGTGGCACTCCTGGTCTGCAGTTAATGGCTAACTCAGTGGTCTGCAGTTCAACCCATCATGGAAGAAAGGCCTGATGGGCTGCTTCTGAGTCAGGAGAACCCCAAAGAGCAGTATCTCCATAACACAGGGTTCTCCCCTGGGTTCCAGGGGGTGTGACTGTAGTGAGGGGCACAGCCCATCTTCCTCCCAAGGAGCAGCTGGTGGGCTCAATCCCCCGGAGGTGATGTTGCCTTTCCGTTAGCAGTGCAGCTGCCTACAGGCCCTGCCACCAGGGATCCCTACTAGCAACAAAATACAGAGTAAATGCAAGTGCTCATTAAATGAGAGAGAGGAACAAAGAGGGGCAATTAAGAGGGAACAGTATGTGAAAACGCTATAAAGCACGGTCAGAGAAAGGAACGCACTATGAAATGCTACATACCCAAAGTTAATGGAGACATTACCTGAAGTTTTAAAAAATATGTAAATAGCAGAGACATTTCAAAATAAAAATTAGAAAGTCTACAAAATGATTTCTTTTTAAATTTAAAATGGGAGAATGCCTACATAGGAGTCATTCACATGTACCTTGTCAGGAATACAGCAAATCAAATCAAAATGAGGAAAAAGAACTTTTAAAGGTTTTGAGTAGGCTTAGGACTTAGTAGTGTCAAGCCTTGTATATAAGAATCATTGTGTTCAAGTCCAAGACAGCAGAAATGTCAGAGAAATCTCGTGAGGTTATCTGTCTGCAAAACCTCCTCAACACACACAGAGCAGACGTGACCAGAAGCCTCAGCTTCTCACCCAGGTGAGTCTGTTTTCCCTGTTCTACCTTGATAAACCCCACCCCCACACCTACAACAGCTGAAACTAGTACAAGGCAGAAAGCTATCAGAAAGAAAACTGTTTCCCGGGAGTTCCAGCTCTGATAGGTTTAACTCTGTGCGTGTCAATGGTATGTGTGTGCACGCATGTGCAGGCATGCATGCACATGGTGTCCTGGAAAGAGAAAGAGCTAGTCGGAATGCACTCAGACCCACAGGAGAGCGAGGTTCCACCCAAAGCATACCCACCTGATAATGTAACATAAAAGTCTCCATTTGAACTCCCATGAATTTGGCTTTTACTTCAAAGTCTCCAACTTCTTCTGTTGGATTGATTTCAAAGATAACATTTTTAAACTGATTTGCTTGCAGGTCTTCAATTTCCAGAAGCACTCCTTTTTCATGGAGTCTTCATAAATAGGCATAGGTTTTATGTTTTCAAAAATATTCTATAATTTGGGAAAAGGAGAAAATGTCTAAGGCAGAAAAAGGGTGGGAAAATTTTTGCAGGTGACACACTGAAAGACTTGCTACTTTTAACTATCATCTGTTTTGAGACAGGAATGCCAACTTCTCCTGCAGTGCTTGCATTCAACTAAAAGAGCAATTCCACGAAAGGCTGATGAGGGATGGTATCAGAGAAGATCTGGCTGGTCTTCCATGTGACTTAATGCTGGAGTCAAACAGGAAAAATAATGTGAAGCATGGAAAACAGATGCACAGAGGAGGAAGGAGAAAGGACTACACATTTGGACAGAGAGAAATGAACAGGAAGTAAATAGAGTTCCGTGCAAAAGAGGAGGGTTCCTGGAAAGAAGTAGGTGAGGTATCAGATTACTAATATATATGTAATCATGTCCGTATCCCTATAAGCCTAGATAATAATATATAATGATGCAAATGGATACTACTTTGCAACACAAATCAAAGTAATACTATTGCCCTTAGTAGCTATCAAGTCAATTCCAACTCACTAAGAGACAGTATGTATATGTATACCCATGTTTATTGGCTTTGTTCACAATAGCAAGGAGTTGGAAACAACCCAGTGCCCAGCAACAAACGAATGGATAGAGAAGCTGTGGTATATTCGCACAATGGAATACTATGCTGCATTAAGAAACAAGGAACTCATACAATATTATTGGTAATAATGGGTGACCCTGGAGGACATTATGCTGAGTGAAATGTCCCGGTCACAAAGGGACAAATATTGCATGGTGCTACTGTTGTACAATGGGACTGTCCTTGGAGTTGGGGAGAGACTGAGTAAGATGGGTTCAATAATGTATACTGCATTAAAACAGATAAGGGAGAGAACTGTTATAAGGGATATATGATGGTATTATTGTCATGACAGGAGCCCAGAACGAAGGCTGCATAGGAGTGGACTTGGAGGGAAGGGATTGTTTAACAATGAGAGAATTTTTACTTTTCAAAGAACGGGGGTGGGGGGTGGGGGAGGTAGACAGGGAGAAAAGCGAATGAATGGAAACCCAAAGTCTCTGTAAACGTTCATTAAAATGAATAATAATTAAAAAGCTAAAAAAGAGACACTATGTACAACAGAACCAATTGGGTCCAGGCCAGCACATCTCCACCATCGTTAACATGTTTGTCAGTCTAGCTCATGGAGGCCCTATCCCGGCATGATCTCCTCCTCCAAGGACTGGCCCCTCCCAATAACATGCCCAAAGTATGTGAAACAAAGGGCCTGCTATCCTCGCCTCCAAGGGACATTCTGGCTGCACTTCTTCCAAGACAGATCTGTTTGTTCTTTTGGCAGTCTAGGTTATGCTTAATATGCTTTGCCGACGTCACAATTTATAGGTGTCAATTCTCCTTTGCTCTTCCTTATTCCCTGTCCAACTTCCATATATGCCTATGAGACAACAGAGAATATCATGGCTCGTGGTCAGGACACCTTAGTTCTCACAGTGGCATCCTTACTCTTTAGCATCTAAGAACTTTTGCAGCAAGCTTGCACATTGTAATACGTCATCTGATTTCTAGACTGCTGTTTTCAGAGGCACTGACTATAAATCCAAGTAAAATAAAATCCACAACAACTTCCATCTTATTTATTGTGATGTTTGCTTTCTGGTCCAGTGTATTTTTATTTTCTTTATGTTGAAGTATAATCTTCAGCTTCTCATCTTCATCATCATTAAGTCCTTCCAACTTTTGAGCAACGTGGCATCATCTAGTTAATGATGTCCTGAGCAACGTGGCATCATCTAGTTAATGATGTCCTGGTCTTTTTGGAAACATGGGGGTTTTTAATTTTAGTGAAGGTTCACATTCATGCATGTTTTCCTCCCATTCCCTTTGTGATAATTCTACTGTTCCAGGCCAATAACTGTTAGACGTGTTATTTCTCATCTTTCTCCCACTGAGCAGCTAGTGGATTTGAACTGCATACCTTTGTATTGACAGTGCAATTCCTTATCATTAAGCCACCATAGCCTTGGTCAGAGTGGTCCTTTCTAATCATCCATTCCTTTCAGACTGTCCCTCCTTTCACCCATTATACTTCAGTGTTTCATTATCTAGATATTCTATTCCTACCCTTCCCCTGCCCCTGTATCGATCCTATTATTACAACAGTGAGCTTAGAGTATTTGTCCTTTTGTGACTCAGCATAATGTCTTCTAGACTCATGCATAAGTGTAGTGTGTTACAAATCTTTTTCAGTGCTGTGTATGTGTGAATGTACTACAGTTTATCTGTCCATTCAGCTGCTGATGGGCATGTGAGCTGCTTCCATCTCTGCTACTATGAATAATGTGGAGATTTTCTTTAAATCTTTGAGCTTGAAAAATACCAAACATGTTCTCCTCTTTTTGTTTCCTAACTCCACCAGATGCTCTACTGGGCAAGGAGGAGCAATATCCTCCTGTGCCAGTTGGGTCTGATTTGATGATACACGACAGGAAAAAATAAATAAAATCAGACATAAGAACAGAAACAAGCGTGACTCCCTCCGGTCACAGAGCTGACAGAGCAGGAAGCCCAGAGAACACTTGCTAGCGACAAGTGGGCCCAGATCTGCAGGAGGACAGGTGAGGGGCAGGCCTCTGAACCATGTGGCAAGCAAGCTGGCTCTTCCCAGAACCAAAAATTGAAAGCAAGACCCTGCTTCCTAGTCCAAGTGGAATGAATAAACATCTGTTATTGTTCCTGTTATCTATTCATGTACAGGACAAATGGAAGGAACAACGTCCTGCCTTAAAGAGGAAATGTACAGATGGGCCCACATGAACAGGTGTGGATCCACCCTTAAACAACTGCTACCCATCCAAGGACATGCAAGACGTACCTTCCCCTTTATGAAAGAGAAATTACATCAGCTTTCTCACACACACACACACACACACACACACACACACACACTTAAAAAACTCAACCAAACCCACCCAAAGTGGGAATACTCACTGATTTGCTTGCAGGTCTTCAATTTCCAGAAGCACTCCTTTTTCATGGAGTCTTGCCGCTGTATATTTCAGGGAAATCTTTTTGCTTTTCTTTCCTTTCATTTCCCCAGGTTTTTTTGAGACCCTGTTAAAAAAATCACATCATATCTTTCTCTAAGTAAAAACTGTATTCTGAATCTGTTGACTAAGGCTATGAGGTCAGGAAACAAACTTCTCATATAGGAGTACATAATATGCCAATTCTAAAACAAATGTTAGGATTCTTCTAAGCAGAGGAAATATTACCACACTGCCTTTGTCTTTAAGTGACACCTGAGAAGAGTCCCATGAATCTGACTTTGTCCTAATCCTTCTATGGCTCTTTTCGAACCTAAGCCCATAGCAAATAAATGGGAGGGCTTCTAATGTCAGGAGACATCTTCTAATAAGAGAACTGTTCTCAATTCCAGGGATAAAGAGACACTCTCTGGAAGGTAGTTTGGTGCTTCCTCAAAACGCTGAACATAGTACTTCCATATGACCCACCTATTCCACTACTTGGAATACACCCTGAGAAAATGAGAACTGAGTCACAAATGGAGAGTTTTAAACCAGTGTTCATAGCAGCATTATTCAAGTCAAGAGAACCTGTGCCTCTCACTTTGCCTCTGTGGGTTTTAGTTTCCACTGTGAAGCAGGTATGCTGGACGCCCTCTGGCCTCGGGCAGGCAGGGGACCTACAGAACTATGTTTTTATACTAATTCCTTAAATGATTTTGAGGTTCCCCTAGTGTTAGGATTATGACAAGACTGCCTTCCAGAATGCTCTCATTTCTGATGTTGAGACATCCAAACAGGGTAAACTTGAAATCCTCCACACATTACTTACGTCATCCACAAACAAATGTAAATTGGCAATTCTGATAGAAACAAAAGACAAGACCACTGTAATAAACAGATCCAATGGATTCTTTTAAGTAAAAAGTCCCAGTTACCATTTTGGTTATCGCAGCAAAGGAGCTCTGGTGACCTAGTGGCAAGAAGCTGCGCTATAATCTGGAAGACACGTGGTTCGAGGCCACCAGCTGCTCCATAGAAGGATAGGTAATCTCCTCCCGTGCAATTAACTGCCTCTGAAAACCCACTGTAGGGTCAGCTATGGATTGGTTCCAACTCAACGGTACACAACAACAACAAATATACTGTAATTCCATCCCTTGATATGGAGGGAGGGAGGGATGGAAAGAGGAAGGAACGAAGGAAGGTACAAAGGAAGAAAACCAACTCACATGCCCTTGCTGGCTAAGTTATCCAAGCAGGTTTTGATGTAGCTTTTGTAGTAATCCACCTGCTCCCCATAGAAGGTAGCCTTAGAGTTCAGGGCGGCATAAGTTTGCTGCAGTTTCACCAGCTCAGCCTTTCTCCTCTGTCGGTATCTCCGCTGATTCCGAATATCCTGAGATATAATTATTAAAAGTAGGAAAACAATGGTATTATGCACTACTTGACTCATGCGCATTTAATCCTCAAACTCTGTGTGACCTCATATTTGTGATAAGCAGTAATTCATGTTCAATAATTAATAAAGGAGTCAGAGGCTTAATGGTAAGGAGTTGCACTGCCAACCCAAAGCACAGGCTCAATCTATCTGCTGCGCCACAGGAAAAAGATGGACGATCTCTTCCCGTGTGATCTCTTCCCCTCTGAAAACCTACTGGAGGGACAGCTGTGAGTTGGTTCTGACTCAAAAGTACACAGCAACAAGAAAATTACTAAAGAAATTAAAATTCTAACCCTTTTTTGTCACATCTTCTAAAGAAATGGAGCTCCACATTCTTGGAATTTACCTGCAAAGCTAGCTTAAATACTTTATCAGAAGCAGAAACAGTGAATTTTAATACATCCACAGTCAAGTTCCCACACATGGATGGCTTTACCTCGTATAACGGTAAATGAAACCTGCACAGCCTGCCTCACTACATTCAAACTCACTTGGGAAAACTCACAAATAAAACATCATGGCTCCAGTGACTGAAATTTCACTGTAATTACAAAACAGATCCTCCTGTCACGTTTAAAGACACGAAGACTTGGTTACAACCTTCTTCCTATTAATTTGGGCAGGAGAATAGTAAGTCATCTTGGGCAGATGAGATCCCTCATCTTGAAGAATCAGGAGCCATGTCCCGGGGCCAGGAGACTGATACTCCCCTGCGCTGAAGGGATGTTACTATCTGAGCAATTTCTGTCTCCTTCACAAGCCGCTCAGATGGCTTCCAGCAAAGTAAGGCCCACACTATCCCCCAAATGCAGTACCCTGGCGATGTCATTGATCAGTTCCTGGTATTTGTTCTTCGGGTCCACAGTTCCCAGCTCGGTGAGCTTCTTTAAGCCTGACTGGATCTTCTCCTTCTTCTCCTGAAGAGTGAGGTTGCTGTCTTCTTTTACAGATTTTGACTTTTTCATCTTGTCAGGAGTTTTGGCATCCCGAATAGCACGTCTCTGCATGGCCCTCTGATGATCAGCTTCCTACAAATGCAGACAGGAAGCCCCTCATTAATTGTGCCAGTCCTACTTTACAGCAGGCCCACCTACATTATATAACCCTCAGACTTGGAATTCCTGCCAACCTGGAGCCATCTCCTTTCTCAATAGTTCTTCCTTTTCTGCTATACAGACCACTCTGCCAACATATGCAATGGAAAGACCAAAAGCTTTGGCGTCAGAAAGAACAATCTAAGTGCTACAAAGTGGTTGCTGATCTTGGCTAAGTCATTCATCCTCTATGAGGGTCTTAATAGCCTTATCTCAGATATACAGTAGTTGCTCAATAAAGACATTTTCTTACCTATCTCAAACTTTTTCTCTAGGTTAAGTAAATCTCAGTTTGTTGATGTCTCTTACTTATCCTTCAGCATATCTAATCAGTCGCCAATTAACACATGTACAGGTTGAGAATTCATCTGACACAGTGGCATTCCAAGAGCCCTCATAGAGGGTTTTCTAGAGGAACACGAACATCTAAAGGGCCAGGTGCCAAGGTCCTGAAGCTAATAGAGAAGCTGTGATTTTACCTGCTTTATACATTGGGATTTCAAGTAAGCTGTCTTTTAGTGGAAAGGAATCCACGTTCACATTTTTAAAACAAAATATAAAACTTTCTCAAAAACAGGGTCCTCTACATGAACTGACTCATCCATGCCCTTTTCTCTGCCGTGCCATCCCACCATCACCTACTGGCTCTGGGATGCTACTACAAACTCAGATCAGCTGGCCAGCCAGCACTGCTGAACAAAGACTCACGATCTCTTCAGAGCCAAATTCCTGTTGTCTAGCTTCTACATACTGTATCATCTTTGACTTTCACTTTTCACCTCCACCTGCCCTCTAACAGTTATGTCTGTTAAATGTGTTAAAATTTCTGGCTAGAACACCCATTCTGGCCTCTCAATACCCTCCTCCCTAGAATATCCCCCAAATACTGTCCACCTTTACTTAGCTAAATTTGGCACAGGTTCCACTTCCTTTATGAAACCTTCCTGATGACACTGCTCCTCACTGGTCTCTTTCCTGAACTTCCATTGTTTATAACTTCAATGCCATAATTAATTTTTAATGGTTTTCTAATTGTTTGTCATATTTCTTTAACTAGAGCATAAGCTCATTGAGACACATTCTGTACTTTTTTTTTAAACTATCAAGGCCCTTAGCCTCTCTCTCTTGTTCTTTGTTGGACAAGCCCTACACATTGCCACCACAATGACCAACCCCAGCTGTAGTCAGGCTCAACCCTAGGTCAGCTGGATCTTGTCAGCTGTGTCCCTCTCTTCCAGTCTGGCATGGGCTTACCATGAAGTGCCTATCCACCTTACTAATGCATGTTAAACCCATGTTCTACCTGTTCGCTGGTGGCTGGTGTTTCCAAGATTTCCGTTAAGGTCTCTCCTGGCTGGAACCGGATGACATCCACAATTAAACGTTTTGTGCTGAAAACGAAAGGGGAGGAGGGATTTAAACATTTCTAGAGTTGTACTTCTCAAATGGACACGCTCAGTGGCAACAAAACCCCCACCTCACAGAGATCCCACTTGACAATTGCTTAGGTGCTCAAGGCCCAGACTTATTTATGCAGCTTTCAACAGAAGAGGCAGCAAGGTGATTTTAGCACTTATAAGCAAAACAAGACAGATATGGCCTATACCAAATATACAAGATGGCCAAAATTAGGACAAGCTCAAAAAGGCCAAGACGATCATTTCAGAGTCTGACCATACTTCGTATGGCTTGTCTACCAGCCCAAGGGCTCTTCTGATTACACTATTCCAACTCACTTCAGCAAGATGGTCCGAGCATCCATTTCTGCATTCTCATCTCCGGGCACATCAAACTTGTTGGTTAATGTGAGAGAGACTTCCGTTTTGGCTAGGGCCTCCTTATTTGGGTCATTTACATTGCCAGCACCTTCCCCTGAAGTTGTGGGAAAGTAGAAAAAGTCAGTATAATAAAGAAAGGAAATAACAGACTAAATATACAAATAAAAGATGATATAAGCCTCAGAAATTTAAATAAGCCAATACATACAGTAGAGCAAGTACAGCATTTACTGGAAATAAATGTTATGACAAATGAGAAAGGCAAAGGATCTACAATTAACAAGTCCATATATAAGTAGCAAATAATTTTCAAAACTGTCATAATTTTCTCTTAAAATACTGTATCCGTGTTCTTTATGGGATTTAATGATAATTTCTAATATTGTTGTGAATATTCATCCAAAAGTGTATCTTCCAAACTTTTTCATAGACACTCTTGACCCCCTATCCAGTCCAGACCCCCCGGTCCAGTGTGGAAACAGAAAAAATGACTGAAACATCCTTATGTCGTGTCCCCTGCCCCCTTGAAGGGTTGCTGAACTAGAACTTTACCGATCAAAGACTCGATGGTGGGCACCTCGCCCAGGTCGTCCAGCAGCTCGTGGATGGGGTCATTGTGCTCTGGAGCAATGGCATCCTGGTGATCTAACAGGAG